GTTGTCTTCTTCTTCTTCCTCTAATTAGATAGTACAAGGGATTGTGAGTGATCTCTTCTTTGCCTCAGAATCACTGAACAAAGCGAATCCGTGAGACAGAAGTTGAAACAAAAAGAAACAGTCTTGTCATTATGCTTTTTATGCATTGTTGCCTATATGTAAATTGCAAAAACGCAAATTGCGACGACCCTGTCTGTGTGTGTAAGTTTGTGTGTGTGTGTGTGTGTGTGTGTTCGTCTGTCCGGGTGTTTCAACTCGGTAACCAAGCAAGCTCCAGTGCCAAAATCTTGCGAATGTGTTTCCCGGCCAAATGCCACCCCGGGGCCGCGGTATCAGCCCTCATGCGATTCTGGGCCCAGCGTATGAGAGGCTGAAAATTTTGGCGGGAAAATTGCTAACTCGAGAAAGAGAAAAGCTAGAAAGCTGAAATCTTGAGATTATGTTCCCTGTCCACATGTGTGGCGTAATTTGACGCTTTTCTTGTTATCATGATGGGAAAAGGTGCAAAGGCGGAAAAAATAGATGATTTATTTAGTATAGTTACGTGTAGTAGTACAGTAATAATTCAAGTTGCCCGGCTGCGTAGGAGAATGAACAGACGATTAGTTTAAGACTGAACGTGACCGGGGACGGAGTATGCAATCGCTGAGAGGCAGCCGCGGAGCGGTCGGGATGGTGTCGTGAAGCAGGCCGAGGGCCGAGACGATATTATGGAGAGGTAGCCGATGAGCGGTCGAGCACTGGAATGTGAAGGACAAGAATAAACAGGAGGCAAGATACCGGGACTTTTATAGGGTCCAAGAAACACCTTGTCGCCTTTCGGCAATCAGGCGTCAGGAATGTAAAATGTATTAAAAGCATCATGAGAGCCCAGGCTGGAACGCACCGGGCGGGTCCGTGCGATCATGTGTTTTTGCACAGAACTTGAAGTACTCAGGTCATTAACTGCATGAGTGGTTGTTGCTTTACACCTATCTTTCGCGATCACTTGCATAAATCACCATAAATTTTGCATAAAGTAGATGTACAATTTTCATTTAACGATC